TCCTTCCCACACCTTTAATACTCCTGAATATGGGAGTTTGAAGTTCACTTTTAACACAGGCTTTAATTACAGTAATGAAGCACTACACAGGTATTAAAAGGAAAAGGGGGCCAAGTAATCTGGACTGAAGGACAAATATTATCAAGACAAGTACTGATCTTGGCTAAGTTTGTGTATGAGGAACCTGCTGGTAGGATCCATAAAAGCAACTGGCTGATTTGTCTGAAAAAGACAAAAAGTATAAAGAGTGTCTGAAACAAAATTTTAAGCCTTATTTATAGGCTCTGGTGTATTCCCGATTTGTTCATGAGAAACTATATGGATACCCTTACAAATACCGTTCCAGCACAGCATTTTGTGATAGTCCTGACTGTTTCAGGCCAAAAAACCTGGAAGTTATGTTTGCCTTTGAAAAGATTTTGTTTCCTCTTGGCATCGTGTCAATCCAACTTCAGAGAGTCACAGGGTAGAGAGCAGGAATGATACAAGCTGAACAGCAATTTGCAGTAACCATGTTTGGTTTAGCTCCTGGTTCAGTGTCAGAACAGAGACTCAAGATTGTGGGGACAATTACTGGAACTAAATTGTTTTGGTTCTGCTCCACAGGTATTGTGAAAGGCTGTATCAAGAAGTCCTGAATTACCCAGTTTATATACATTTCCAGCTGTATGAAAACCCACTGAAACCATTTGGTTTCAATTTTCCATCTGAAAAGCCTTTCTTTGGGCAATCAATAGCAACAACACTGAATAATTAACACAGCTTTAATCTGTCATGGCCTGTTCTGGTTTTAACTTTGGAAGCTTCTCTGAATTACACATTTAAGTGTAAGATAAGCAAAAATGCCACAGAAGGAACTTAGCAATTCTGAACTAACAAGCAAATCGGTATTTCAGACTATCACTAAGCCTTTTGTAGTCTAATACAACTTAAACATATTTCCTATAGTACACAGGGAATTATTTTTCTCATGATTCAGTTAGTTGCACACCACCAGAAAAGTCCTTCAGTACGATCAACTTCTCGTAAGGAAAAGGTCTCCCTTGTCCAAAATCATTATCAAGGAAACACAGAATTTGCACTGTTGAGTTTCTCTCTATCCAAGCTTTCATTACTGTAGATAAATGCTAGGAAAATACTAGCAAGTGAAAGAGGGAGCACCACTAGACCAGACACATGGAAGAAAGAGGTAAGTAAAGTAGAGGCCTTTACTTAGTTATCAGTAATGTAGACCAGACAAAATGTAAAAAAGTGTCAGAAATAACTCTGAAAGACATTATGGTTACACAGATGATTTACATGGTTTCCATTAATTTCTAGAAGCCTTTAACAGTAAATCCAAGAGTAATATTTTTGATGCTTTCTTATCTCCAAATAGTTCCAATTACACTTAAAGCTTGACAGAGCTCTCCTAGCTCAGCCACCAACAACATGAAGTTTCATGCAGTGGGAAATAACTGAAAGCAATGGTATTATTTAAAGGCAGAAGTGTAGCTGAAGTATTAACAATATCAGAAATCTTAACTTGCAGGTAAAGCTCCATTCCTTCACACACTTACAGGTATGCTGTAGTCAGCCTTAAAAGAAAACAAACCACCATGGTGGGCTTTAACATTTTTATATCTAAAGCAAACCATTTATATCCCTATGTTATGCTGTCCAAACACATATCAAATGATTTCCTGTGGCTCAAACTGTCACAGTGTTTCCATCCAACTGCATGGGTGGTAGCATGCGCCTGGCTGGGGCAGGCTGACAGTAGGACTTGGAGTGACCTTCTGCGGGACCACCAAGCCTCCTTGGCTTCTCCAGTCCCTTTCCACCGCTCCCTTCAAAGGGAGAAACCAAACCATAAGACCTCAACCATTAGCACACTATTACTCCTCCACAGTGGTTATGTACATCCAATTAGAAGGCTGTGTGCATTCGCTGGGAACAAAAACAATGGTTGTTCTCCATTCTGGACTGGTTCAAAGTCCTGAACCAGAACTCCAAAATTACACACGCCTTCCAGTAAGGACCAGGTTCTGTGTCTTCAGCTTCAGTACGTCTTTTCAGCTAGTAGAAAACTAACACAGCAAAAGGCATGCTACCTGTCATCCAGTACTACAGAGATCTATGTCCACTGCCATGGAAAAATTAGCTGTAGAGAATTAAGTTTTTTGTTTGAGAATGAGTAAGTGATTGCAGGTCATTCTTTCATATGGAGGGATGAAGACACACAGTTACACAAATAGTTTTGAGGCATCTAGGTGGGCTGGGACCTGATTTCTAGTTTTGCTGCAGAAATGGGGCTTTGTCATTTCACAAATGACTTTGGTCCACTGGATCAAGCTGGGCTCACCTTTTAGAGAACCAATTCCTAATTCAGCAAGAATTCCAGGTTCTAGGCAAGATACACCAGTACTGGTGAACAGCAGTCAGCAGCCATTTTGAAGTTATTTCTAGTTTAATGTGCTCTGCAAATTACCTCACAAAAATATAATGCTTGAATACACGTTTTCCTCTCCTTCTGCTGTCTTCTACTGAAGAGAGGATCAGGTTATTTCCTTAGAATAAATACTTCCCATTGGGTTAGAGCATTACCACTGAAACCTTATGGTTTACATTTACAGGTGAAAAAAAGCCTTACCAAAATCTCAGCTCCTGCCAAGTTGCAAAAATCTTACAATTGGTGTTTCATATACGGTGTTTTTTCTTTTACTTCTTGGTTGTAGGGGAGTTCCTGCTTCCCACTCAAAGTGACAGTGCATGATACAATTCACTGCTCACAAGCTCTTGATTATTCTGGGAATAATACATGTTCTAATACATTTTGGACAGACAGCCTGCTTCTCTCCATCAATATACACGTGAGAGAGGACATATGTGTACCATGAAGAAGTGATACCATCATTTCTTTTGTTCAGACTATTTAATGCACTCGCTACACTATTTTGTCTTTCTGCCCAACAATCCAGACAGCACCTGGTTAAGAATTAGCTGCAGTTATGTTATACCTCAGGAAGCAACAAGGTCATTCAGATTTGAACGTTTTTAAGACTTAGCTTGACAAATGCCTGAACAACCTAGTCTGAATTCAGTGCTGACCCAGTTAGAGGCAAGGGGGGCTGGACGAGGTGACCTCCAAAAGTCCTCGATTTAGCTAGCCCGTTTGTAGTCTGGAGAAATCCTGACAGCAAACAACTGTACAGCTACCAAGTTATTTGTCTGTGCTGCTGGAATTATATTAAGGCAGAAGTTTAATACCAAGGCGTTCAAACAACTTCAGTGGAAGAAACAGTTACTCCCTACAGGAAGGCTTTAGCTAAAACAAGTTTGGTTTACAGGCTGTCACTGAGCCACAGCAAGTGAATGTACAGTTTCTCTTTAAAAACATCCTCCAATTTGTGTCAGTACCACGTTTAGCTGGGAGCAAGGAACCATGTTTAAGAATTCCTTGGCAAGGGATGGGGAAGTTAACCTGATGCGGCCTAATGCAGCGAATCCTACTTTGTAGGAAACATTACATAAGCAAAATAAAGGGTAAGGTGTACGAGGAACAGTGGGCATTGGCAGGGGGGCTGGGAAGAGAGCATAATGAAAAACTTCTTCTCATGGGTAGCATTAAAGTTCCCATCTCATCAGATCACAGCATGATTTTGAAATGTTGAAGTACTTCTTCATGCTTTTACCCTAAGCAGCTCTTTTCCAATAGGAAAAAATTGGAATGTATTCTACTGACTATCGCAATTTCAACATACAATGAATTAAGGAAGAGTGCCATCTTGAGCTGAGGAAACTTGGGGAGTAAAGATTTTGTTTCCAACAGTAAATAACTTCTGCTTCTGAAAATGCATCTTAGGGAAGAAGGTAGTCCTATAACCCAGCCAGGCTTACACCTACTTCTAGCAATGGTGTCACAAATCTACCCTGGATTAGTAACCTGAAGGACAAACATACATCTGTACCTATATCCATCTCAGTTCTTCTGAGACCATAATTACAGATAGGAAAGCTTTAAATTAGTATTTACAGAGGTGATGAGTCTTCTAAGAAATTGGTGGCTTACAGGTAGGTACCCAATTCACTGAGCAAGCCCTTCACATTAGCAAGGATCAAGTCAGAGAGTAGCCTATATCCACTTTCTTTAGGGGATGAGTCCCTCAAAGAACTACAGATGCAGATTTTATCACGCTTCACCACCTGTATATAATTAAGAAAAGTATTTTCGACTGTTCTATAATCTTAAAGATTGAGTGGATTAAAAAAAAGAACAGGTTTTACTGGGTATAGCTGGGTGTGCACACTTTCCAAATTGCAGTGCATTGTAGTGTAGTCATTTATAGCCAGGTTATCTTTGCAATTAGCTATATTGCCACACTTGGTTAAAAAAACAGGATAACACCTACAAGAGCATTTCTGAATTTCTACAGGACAATTACCAAATGTAGTTTCCAGTCACTGGATTTGAACAGCAGCCTACAGTCTAGCTCTGAGATACCACCACCACCGCCCCTACTCCCTCGGTAATAATCAGTCTGAGCTTAATTAGCAGCTCAAGCAGTAGTGTCTCCTTCAATTATATTCTCCCCTTCCTAGAAACTAGAGAGCTGTACCAAAATTAGGTTGAACAAAATATGCTGTCCTGAAATAAGGGCTCAGTCCCATTGGGACAGCATACAGCTGCTCATCGCAAATGCTTTGTACCCGAGCTGTGTATTTACTCCTCTTCACTTTTACATCTGCTGAGTAATTTTAGTTGCAATTCTGCTATAAACAAACCATAAATAATATTGTTTCTCCTAATTGCACCATACTCTCCTGAACACATTCCTCACAAGATAAGATTTTACAATGATGGCGTGTAGCCTACCTTCCCCCTCAATATTAGCAATTTGTGATTTAGACAGAATCGTATTTAACTCCAAAAATATAGCTCTGTACCATTCTAAAAGTCCTGTCAAAGTTCCTTTAAGAAACTAGTTAAATGGTAGTATTCCAGTGAAAAATTCTCTTACCAGAGCATGATGACAGAACGGCTCCTTTGGGGGAAGGCGCTTTAATTGCACAGACAGTTTTATCGTCACATCCTCTCTTCAAGGGCAACACAGATGGCACCGTTTTAATTTTGGGAGCTGATACACTTCGTGGCGTGACTGGGCCTTTCTTCGCTATGTTTTTCCCTTGTGCTGTCCCATCTTTCACAGCAGGCATCTGTTTTTTAAAAACAAAACACACCACCACTCTGAGAGGCTCAGCACCTGCGATGAAATACTGACCAAGACAGGTAAGGAATATGCCTAGCTGTTTGCTGTCTCATTGGCCACTTCTGCACTTCAGAACCTCAAGAAGCATCCCCTTGATGGCCCTCAGCAACACAATACTATTAGTTTGAGGCTAATGACTGCTAATGACAAACACACTAAAGAGGTTACAGGGGTCATTTTACACCAGAGTTTCTTACTTCCCAAACTCTAATTGAGCCATTCAATTACATGACTGCATCTAATCTCTATATGAATTCTTTACCAAGTAACTATACGAGTTAGTGCAGTGAGAAGTTGCCCTGTACTACCTGAAACATCACCACCCCTCTAACAGGTTTCCTCATCTAGGTCTTCTATTACAACACAGAAACAAGCTTAAAAACTTTCACATTCAGGTGCCATAGATAAACCAGTCATTTTAAACCTGTCCTGGGTCCACTCCCGAATTTGTTTTATACGTAGCACTCATCTACCGTTCATACCTTGTCTGGCTACAGTTAATACAGGCACTAGTTCATGACCACACATGCTGTGAAGTTAAGGCTGTAAAGGTAAACTCGTCAGCACGTACAGCTCTTCATATGCTTTGCTGCGACTCAAGCCAATATGCAGCAATCTGGTCACATTAATGTACTTTCCACTGACTTTTGAAAATGAAGATGGCTATTGGAGATAAATCTGTACTTTTCAGAATACCACTTACTAGGTTTAGTCCAGCTAATTGGTCTACTGCACATTTTATACAAAGTGCTCTGTGGATTTTCTAGATACCAACAGAACATTAATATCTCAAAGGTTTCCATCTTAGTGAATTAAAAGCTGTTCAAAATTAAATTCTTTCCAACCCTCAGCCCCAAAAGGAAGGAGTGAAGCAGAATCCAAGCTCTGAAAGACTTCAGAATTAAGACAGACCATCCTTGCTTCATGTTCATTTAGGTTTCCAAGTTTAATTATTTATTCTAATAAATAGCATTATTTATTAACTTATTCCGTAATGTTTCAAAGAATGGATACCTGCTTCTGTTTTACCCAAAATAGCTTCCTCCATATGAGCCTTAGTGGAGTGTTGCTGGCAAATCAGCAAAGCCTGACAAAAATCCAAACAACGCCAGTTGTATCGATAACAGCTGTTGCCCCCCTTTCACCGATTTAACATGAGCTGTTGAACCCACAAGCAAACAACAGCAGGGACTCCACATGCATCAAGACTCCAACTCCACATCCCTACCATGCCTCCCAAGATCTTGGTTGATGCAACCCCGAAGCTCTTACCTTCTTTCCCACCGATCCCTTTCTTTTAACCTGCTTGCAGAGTATCTGAAAGCAGCACGTTTCTCCTGACAGGCAGCTGACTTATCCAAAAATATTTCCCAACCAACCAGCACACGCATACCTCCCGGCCAGGAAGTTTGCACCTTCCAACTGGCTGACTGCCCAAAACCAGGTATATGCCCTCTGCATGAGAAATATTTCCTGGCTACTCTTCACTATTCTAATGAGTTTTACTTCAAATAAACAAATTCCCAAATTATTCAAAGCAGACAGTTAAGATGTTAAAAATAAAATGCTTCACCACCTTGTTTGTCTTGGGGGTTTGTGTGACTTAATATTATTGTTAATATATGCACAGCATATCTGCAAGTAAATTTTAAAAGTGTAATTTTGTTCTAAAGCATGTTTTGAAATAAAAAAAACCCTAAAACCAGCAATTTATCTCTAGTGTCCATTTAAAGTTACAGATGCACTGGAATTATCCTGAGAACAGTGCTTATTAAAAGCTGCATTTAGAAAAACCTCACCAGGTTACACTATGCAATTTTAGCAGCTTGACTAAATTAAGACTTTTATAAAATTTCTAATGAAAGCAAACAATTGCATTGTCTTAAAAAGACTTTACAAGAAAAAAAAATTTATACACAGAATAAGATGAAGACTGAAGACACTAAATCGTATGCCAGGCCAAATGCAACCCGCTTGTAAAACAGCATTTCTCTACTCCCTTTATCAGGGAGAGATTTCACCTCCAAAATCAACCCCTCAGTTACATTTAGTAGACACAACCCATTCCACAACTTCCATTCAGCACTGTGCAATGCAGAATTCCCTTTCTAAATGTAAAAGACAATTAAGTAGGTAAAGAAAAAAGCTTACCAAAGGAACAGAAAGCACGTCAAACGTTTCATTTGCCGCATCTTTTAACAAGGCTGCTCCCAGAAGAGTGCCCGTGTTGCTGCTTTGCTCGTTTTCACCTCCGGCCAGGTAGGTGTTTTGAGCACTGGGCTGCATTAAAGAGTCCGAACTTTCCATATTATCATCCAGCATCTCTTTTGAGTTCTCTACATGCATTAGAAGTTCAGCAGAAACCGAGGAGTATGACAAAGGGGCAGAGCTCGCTTTGCCAATGTCTTCCGGATTCTGCTTTAACACAGGTGTCTTTGAAGCCTTGTGGGAAGCGTTTTTGGGATGTGTCGTGGCATGTATGACTTGGCTAGTGAAGAGGTGTTTGTTAAGATGTAGCTTATGGGGCTTATTCACAGGCAATTCCACTTTAGTATCTTTAGCTAGATCTATTTTTTTTTTCAGCACTTTCATAGAGGGGGGCAACTGCCTCGGGGAAGCAACCAGTGAAGATGAGGAGACAGCTGAGAGTTGGGGGGACTGAGGCGACTGTTTTAGTGCTGCACTGGCTCGTGACTGTAACACAGGCCTAGACATAACCTTTGGTTTAACGTTTTTGAAATTAGGTTTGGGAAAACTAACTATCTCCGATTTCTTCGCTTTGGTTATTGTTGACATAACAGGACACCTGCCCACTGGTTTTCCTGCAGTTTGACCCGAACTAGCTTTAAGCAAAGGCCTTCTATTATGTCCTCCTACAAATGCCTTGTTTGGTCTTAGTTTAGGAGACTTGTCTTCAAGTTCTGCCAAAGCTGAAACAGAAAAAGTTGTATTTTCTGACTGTTCCTTAGGGGTTGAAGTACACAGAGTAGGATCACTTCCATCAGCCATAGGACTGAAGACCACAAAAGTTGTTTCGCATTTCAGATCAGGTATAACAGGCCTCTTCAATTTTGGTACACTGCAAGAGAAAGCGGTGTTGTGCGTATCCTGAAGAGCAGCATTTCCAGAGATACTCTGTTCTTTGGTTAGAGGTTCACCAGTTTTCTTTGATACTTGTTCTACGTCCATTTTATCTACTGGGTGAAGGTGCACATCATTTACATCATGTGCATTTACATCATCCATGCATGTTTCAGCATTAGAATTCCCAGCTTCATCATGATCAGGGGTATCCTGCAAGGATTTCACTTGGTCATCTTCGTTAATATTAATGCATGGCGATAAGGTATCTCGCCTATAAGGATTTATACACCCAACAGCTAGTTTAACAGACTCTGCTTCTCTTTTCCGTGATTCTTCATCAGTCTTGTTAGTGTTTTTTAGATAGTGTTGAACACCTGCAGAGACAGGATAAGATACTTCAAGTTCTGAATAGGCATCTCCGCTTTCTGAAGCCACTGTCATAGAGGAGAAGTAAGGTGTTTCTGAGCTGGTTCCATCAAATTTCTCTCTCCTACATACTTCTGAAGAGATTAGTGGTTGCCTCAGCTGCATGTCTTCACTGTGATCAGATCCCAGAGTTTCACCTATAACATTAGTAACATCCAACATGCTCAGGTGGCTTTGTGCCCTGTCCTTTATCAGGGACCGCGTGTTCTGCCCTGTAGCAGGAAGAGGTAAGACACACTTAGAGTCAGTCTGACTGTAAGGCACAGTTTGTTTGGTACTCCGAGTCTGCATTTTTGCCATAGCAATGTTACCCTTCACTAAGTTTGTTGTTTCTTTCAAGTCACAGTTCAAAGGACACACACAAGTCTGCCCAGTCACAGACTTGCATGCAGCATCTCCATCTCCCAACGGAGCTCCTGGGCAGTTGTATTTACCAGGCGTCTTCTGCAGACAAAGTGCTTCAACACACTGCTGTTTTAAAAGAACACTTCTGAAGTCACTCTTATTTTCAAGAACAGTATCATCTTCACGCTCAGTCACTGTATTTTGGTCAGTTGAATTGCTGCGTATCTTGGTGGCAGAGTTCTCTAAGGAAGGCATAGCTCTGTCACATGCATAGTTATTTCCATTTTCATCCCTTTTAAGTAAGGAAGACTTCAAGCCATTCTTTGCTTTGTCATCCGACTTTCCAACATTCATTTTGAAGGCTAAATTTTAAACTATTTTCATTTTATACTTATTTAAAATCCCAGAGAATACACATTCTTCTGAGCTTTGCAGAAAAATAAAAGCTTTCCCCTGGAATGTGTCAACTGTCTTGAAGGTAGTTAAAAATTAGTTCTTTGTTTTCATGTTTCCCAAGAGGAATTCAAAAGCTCTGGAAATAAAAAGAAATTAAAAACAATCAGCCAAACCAGGATTTTAAGACAGTAAGCATTCTTAAGCTATTAGTCTTTGAATCAGGTGTAGCCCTTTCGACCTTAAGGAAAATAGGCTTTTGCAATGATGCCATCTACGCACATTTACTTTCACAAGCCTGACTGCCAAGCAACTTTTGAACCCTTTGGTCAGCTGCAATCTGGTGTGACTTTGGGGCTGCATTCGCAGATACTTGGCTTGCTTGGCTTGCATGCAAGAAAAAGAACAACCAAAAAGATTTGGCTCCTCAACAGGAAAAACTTACCTGAGTAACTACGTGACAAAATGAACCATTATTTTTCCCTCTTCCCATATCCCAAAAAAAGGGCATGGTTCTTCACACGGCGAGCAGTCAAACTATGAACCTTCTTACCGCATGGTGCTTGGAAGGCAAAATTTACACAGGCTCAGACACAAGCAGGTAAAAGCCATGTGAGAAAAACCTGTCCAAAAGCAAATACCCAACTGACTCGAGCAGCTCTTAGTCACAAGCTGCAAGCAGCTAGAACTCTAAGGAAAATCACTATGTGCACATCCTGGTCTCATACTCTTCTCTAGCAATAGCCTCCGTCTTTTATAAAGATAACACAGGTTCCAAAATCACAAGGACATGAATGAGAGAGAAGATCCAAACTGTCAAAGGAGCTGGATGACCTGCAAGGCATGACTCCGTATGAAAGCCTCCTAGTACCAGAAACAGGACCAGAGGTGGGAAGAACTTCAGATTTATAAAATATGGTTGCAATGGGGTGGAGGGTGTGGCAGGAAACAGGGTCA